TATAGGTTGTTTACGCGTGAATGAGTGTCAAATCTAAGGGTTATTTGCTAAGGGGAAATGAAGGGTTTTTTATTAGGGTGTTCTCCAAGACTTTGCAGTCTCGTGCCTACGCATCCTTATAGTGCAATAAGAAATTTAGAGCATTCGTAGTTTGGGGAACTAAGGGTGAGTGTTACTTGATTTTACCTTGTCAAAAGGAGTTTTAAAGTTCGCACGACGGCGAGAAAAGAGTTTGATGAGTAAAGTGTTTTGTTGGATGATGAATACTTGAGAGGTCAAAGAAGGCTCCTCGTATCCAAGAACTCGAGAAGAAAATAAAAGGCTCTAGAACACTTCTTTTTCATCCTTTAATGAAATGGTATTTAGTCGAGATTAGGTGTTTTTGAATTGTTTAGAAAAAAAGGTTTGACATTGGATCAAGCAATTAATTATCGCTGCGAGATGATTATGAAAATGGTTTGAGATTGAAACAGGTCTAAGATGATACCACCTGAATTTGGATCAATGGTGTGAGAAAAGATTGATGGCGATGCACAAGGCGATCGACTTACAAGGGTTAAGCGAGGATAACACTTAAAGTTGGATCAAGAGTTTGAGAAAGAGGTAAGGCCGGTCCTAGTTCCTAAGGGTAACTAGCAAGCAAAATCATAACCACAGACAAGCGAGAATATAAAGAAAGTACACCAAAATGGGAAGAGGGATACATGAAAAATACATGGGAAATTGATGCGAGAAATAAAGGGTCTCATTGTAAGGTAGCTCAAGAGAAAGTCGTGTGTATGCACAATGTCCTAACCTAAGATATGGAAATAAAGAATCCAAATTCAAGCCTCCTTTTGCTAGGGTTGAGTACAAGGTCAAAAACTCCAAGCAAGCACATGATAGTAACCATAGTCCAGAATTAAATGTTTTTTGGGGTTTTAATCACTATATCATGTTTTTCTTTGCATTTTTTAGCAAGATATGAAATGAAGATCAAAAAGAAGAAAATGACATAATGATAAATTCATGAATGATAAATGATCAATAAAGTAAATGGCGGAAAAGTAAATGACAGAAAGTAAATAGTAAGAAAATAAAGAGCGGAAATGTAAAAGTCAGAGGTTAGAAGTTAATAGTTAATGGTTATTGATCAAATGATCGCTTTCTCAATTCGCAACCAATTTAGCGGTATGTTAAGCAATCGTAAGTGGACTTAATTAGAAGTCGTACCTATCTGAGGCCGGTCAATAACAACATTGGTGTTAACACATGTTAGAGAAACGATATATGAATCATTCTCCTAAAGTCATGCCACACAAAAAGAAAAAGAGAACGGTCTCATCTTAATCAAGAATTTCCACTATTAATCAAAGACAACCTATCATTATCTCAAAGTGTCAAGAATGATGCAAATGATCATTCATCAACATATTTGAAATAATGAAGATTCAAAATCTTTGAAAATCAATACTCCATGATATTAAGATCTTCATCAACCAAAAATAAAGAAATAAAAGTAAAAAAACAAAAACAGATAATAATAAGAAAAATACCAAATCAAAATGAGATTCAAGTGTGAATTTTTTTTTATATTAGAAGTTTAGAAACAAAAGATTAAGAAATAAAAAAAACCTAGAAAAAAAGCAATAAAAAAAAAAGAAAGAAAGAAAGAGAGGGAGGTTAAGCCGTGGATAGATGTGTGGGATTTGGAAATGGAGTGGGCTTATCACTAAAGCCCAATATTGCTTTACAAAAAAAAACACACAGCAGTAACAAGCAACCACTCGTTCCTTTCCTTCTTTTTCTTCTTCGCCCTACTCTCACGGCCGGAAACAAAATCACGTCATTGCTGCGCCGGCTCGCCTCACGGCGGCGGCTTAAAACCATAAGCACAAATGCCTCACTCTCCTTTCTTCAAATCAGATGACAACTCTTATAAACTCTCACTTCAACCAAAAACAAAATGCGACGAAATCGACGACACATAAATCAACATATAAACGGCAACCTTCAGGGGTTCATGTACGTAATTGTTGTATGTTGATGAATGTTATTATGAATTATTGCTCGCTTGAATTATTGTGCCATTGAATTTATTGTCTGAGTACGATTGTGTGATGTTGCATTGTAAAATATGGTGCGAGGTTGTGTTGAATTTGTGTTCGTGTATGAGTTGTTGTTCGTGTATGAGTTATTGTCTGAGTACGATTGTGTTTGTGTTGAGGTTGTGTGAATTTGCAGGTTGTTATTGAATTTGAAGGTTGAAGAAAGTTGAAGATGTGTGAAAAGGTTGGAGAAGAATTTTGACCGGGTTTATTTGGCTGTATGGAGCTTGAAGAAAGTGAAGAAAAGTGCCTCTATTTATAGAGCTTGAAGAAGAATTGTGAGTTTAGGTGAAAATTTTTGTGTTGCCGTTTTGGAATGTTTATGACGTTTTGCTTGCGTTTTTGAAGGATTAGAGGAATGAAATTTGGTGAATGGATGTGTGGATTGTGGAATTCCGTTATGATGTATGAAGTCATTATCACTTTGGCTCAAGTGGTAGCTGCGTTTTGAATCTTTTGATTGTGTAGAGCTCATGTAGCAATTGCGCTTCATGCTTGTGGCAGGTCGTGTTTTGGAAAGTTTGCTTCGTTTCAGCTTGTGGCTTGTTTGGATGGCTCGTTGAAGTAGCAACTTTGGCTATGTGCTTGTAATAGCCGTGTGTTGGAGTGCTTCCATGGCCTTTTTTTTTGTTGGCATTTGTTGTAATTGGCTGGTGATAGGCTTGGTGAGGATATGTTATTCGTCATGGACCTTATGATCATGCTGAAATTTTTTTGTATTGAAATGGATTTTGGTTGTAATATAATGGGTTAACTGTTTTTTGTTGTAATTTTTCCATGAGCCTTTTTGTAGAACATAATGGACTTGAAACTTTGCCAATTGAAATGGACTTGGAATTGTGTTTTTTTAACCCATATTTCATGACATCACTTAAAAATGGCCTTAATGATACATGCACCCTTTAACTTGTAATGTCTTGCAATTGAAACCTAAATGAACCAAATCTTGAATTTTTACTAAACCTTCAAGCAATTCTTGATAAATGAAAACAAACTTGAAATGATCTTGAATAAATGATGCCATATTGAATTTTCTTGAACTAAAATCTTCACCTTGAAATTTCTTGAGTAATACCATGAACCACGTGAACATGTTTTGAAATCAAAGAATCAGGACTTGAAATATGAACTGCACTGTCTAAAATCCTAACTGGAAAATGAACTGGTTGCATATGATTCTCAACCATGAAACATCTGAATTTAGTACCTGATAACTTGAGAATGAAGCAAACCCTTTTTTGTTTGACCAAGATTAAGTAAAATTCAACGGAATTTCAACCATTACTACACACACTTGCTTTCATAGTCTTGACTTAAACCTGATTCAACCTTGCAAGAACCTGAACTTTGACAATAACAAAAATAACACATATTTTTAGATTTTTTGATGCATAAGAGCAACTTTAACGCATAGTTGTTAAACCAAAATTTTGTATAGCTTACGTTAGTAATAAGAAATTTGCATTATAGTAGAGCTGACATGGCATATGAGATGCTCTAAAATTTACGTGCTCTACACAAGCAACGTACTCTAACTCATTATTTAACATAAATAATAGATTTTTATTAATCATTTAATACCAAGTTTGAATTTCTTATAAACCATCACCATTGAAATAAAAACTTCTTAATTCAATTTTGGATTGCTTAAATCCTTCATGTCAATTTGGACCCACGTAAAATAACTTAGTTCATCCAATTTAGTTGCTCCCATTAAAGATGCTCTAAAATAATTAAATTATATGTTAATGATATGATGCAAAAATGATGAAAATGTTAGGATAAAAATGAGGGTATGACACAATGATATTTCAATAATTTTCTTTTCTTTCTCTTTGTATTGTGTGGAATTCTCCTATTGAAGAATCCAATAATTTCTTTGCTACCTTCAGGAATATTTAACTATGTAAAAAAGTTGTCTTCGAAAAAATCTTCACAAAGACTAGTCGAGAAAATTTCTCTTTGTTCGAGAAATTATAACAAGAGTGTTTACATTGCATGAGGATACCGAACTATATATAATTGAGTTGTTTTATAGGACTTTTGATAATGTGCTAGCACAATTTCTAGCAGTGAAATGAAACATCTTAATCTTAAAGAGAATGACCTATTAAAGTACCTAATTAGTAATCTCTTTGGTGATAAGAACTATTTTTCAAATTTATTTTAAATACAAAAACACCAACTCTTATACAATCTTTTTCGTTTGGTCCACATGATTCGTTTTCATTCTGCTTGCTTTCCATCTAATGTAACACAGAAAAAGTAAGAGAAAAAGGCACTACACTTATACATGCATTAAGTAAATATATAAGCATATGATTGTTTTGATTATTATGATCAACCACTTTTGCACCGGTAGGTTAAAAAAACAGTAAGACACGTAACAATAAATAGAAAAACAGTGAGTCTCTGACTGAAAATGTTTCATATAGGAACTGTTTGTAGTTGTTCTGAAAAGGCAAAAGAGAACCATTTGAGTGAAACACCAAAAGCAACAGCATGTATCAGTGGTCCATCTTTACTCTCACTGACACTAACACTTCATCTAAGCATTACACAAGTTCTTGTCCAACCTTAGAATCACCTAGACAATTACACATGTTAACAACAGTAGAATCTGTGTCTTCTATGCTCTCATTGAATACTCTTCATCACTACCTTCCGTTATGTTACTCTCTCTTTTCTCTTTAAATCACATAAAAAAGCAACATTGAAGAAGCATGAATGAACCATTTAATGCAACAAGAACCTTAGTTTTCTTTCACTGGTTGTCTCTGTCTTCTCACTCTCCTTTTCACTCTCTTTCTATCACAGACAAGATAATTAACCAAATACAAGTACTTCTGCTAGATTACTAGTAGTTTACAAAAGCAACAAAAGAACAAAAATAAAAAACATACAACTATTTTTTTAATTGAAAGTAAAAGCAACTTCACTGTCATTGTCTTCTTCTTCATCTTCACTTCCATTTTCTTCCCCTTCTTCTTCCTTGAAATTTTCATTTTCTATTTTATGTTCATCAAAACTAAAAGATTCCAACGTGTGTGGAGCGTGGCCACTACCGAAAGTACGAACATGATCTTTAAGCGATCTTTTGTGTTTGAAATCAGAACCGCATATACAAAACCAAAGCTTCCCACAATTCTTCTCATGTGTTCTCCAATCTCCTCTCACAGCAAATGTCTTCTTACACTTCCTGCACTCGAACGATTTCCCTCCGTGCTTTCTCTTGTAGTGCGTTTGAAGTGTCCTGAAATCTTTCAGTGGTCTTGACCTTGGATAGTTTATGTTGTTTTTGCAACCCTCGGCGCAACAATAGCAGGGAAGTCTCAGTATTGATGAAGCCGACGCTGGTTTTGGTCCTCTCAGTGATTCAGGTCCTGTCCTATACTGTGATCCATGCCCCCACATATGCATCTGCCAAACATATAAAAGTTAATATTCATATCATATTTATATATATATATAATATAACACATCATTCATAAAAAGAAAATAAGGTGCAGAAAAATGACTCTATCTATATATAAATGAACCTGCATGTTGTTGAAACGGTTGAAGGTTTTGTTGCAGACAGTGCAAGAAAACTGGGTGGGACCAATAAGAATTTGAGCAGGAGAAGGGATCCAATACTGAGGAGGTGCTGTAGTGGAAGTAGGAGTGTTTAGTTGCAATGGAGGGATATGAGGGGATGATGAGAGTTTGGAAGGTGGTAAATGTTGGTGACCAGGAGGAGCAAGAGAGAGGAAAATTGAATCTTCATCTTGTAAACGGGTGCAGGAGGCACTGCCACAAGATGATGAGAAGTGATGAGTTTGCATGGTGATATCAATATGCATGCGGTTGATGGGATAGGGTCTATGGATGGATAGTGAAGATAGATAATAAGGAAAATGATGGAGTGTGGAGAGGACTTTTTCAGTATTTTTTGGTTTTAGAAATTGTCAGTAATTTGCATGCGCCCGCTTAGTAATTTTTTTACAGCAGGTTTTGTAGGGTTATGGTGTGGTTTTTTTTATAGATTCTCTTTTGAGAATGGAATTTGGTAATAGTATTTGTTGAGTGTGACTTATAAACAATGACAAGCTATCAGTACCAAACAAGCAAGTGAAACTCTTCCTTTACATTGTATTAAACGTGTTTTCAACCCAACTTTTTCGTAGGGCGATCGCTCCTCTATGTGGTTCTAAAATATACTTGATCCAAAACTAAGTAAGTTTATTGAACTTCATAACCAAACATCATGTTTTATTGCTGGCTATTTATTGTTTTTGAAAAATATCTGATATGAGTTGTTGGTTTAACAAGTAGAGCAGTTGGTCTAACCAGTAGAGCAGGGTATATGGGCTGAGGTCCGCGAACCACTTAGTTTAACTTACAATTTGTTGGAGTTTAATAATGAACATTCATTGCACGAGAAAATGAAGAAGATGAACAACAATTGCAGACAGACAGGGAGAATGTATTGTAACTAATTAACTTTGTTTAATTGCAAAATTCGGAATCTGTTACAAGTTATAACTAACGATTGATTTATATACTAACCAAGTCATATTGCACTAGTAAATGCAATTGAAATTAAATTCAAACTAAACACAAGTACAAATTCAAATAAACTTATAAATGAATTACATCTAACATCATCTTTTAATTTATATTCAAGTTTAAAAGTCAACAACATCAATTTCATCTTCAAATTGATGAAATATTCAGTTTTGATTGTCTTTGTCAGCATATCTAATAGTTGTTTCTGAGTGCTGACATGAACAATCTCAAGTACTCAATTTTAAACCTGATTGTCCAAAAAATGATATTTGGTATCAATGTGCTTGCTTTTTTCATGCAGCATTGGATTCTTAGCAAGACTTATAATAGATTTGTTGTCAATCATTAACTTGACTAGTTTGCTCACCTTGAACTTCAATTCTTGCAGCAAATTCATTAGCCAAACAATCTGACATGCTAACAAAGCAACAGCTATGTATTCAGCTTCATAGGTTGACAATGCAACTGTTAGGTAAAAACAAACATATAGAAGAAAAAAAGGAACACAAGAACATAACGTGGAAACTTACCACAACCGTTGTCAAAAGACAAACGAAGAATAAAACTATGTGTATATACACCCACACCCTCCAAAACTAATATTTAATTACATCTCACAACACTCTAAAACAAGAGTATAAAAGAACAAAGAAAGTCAAATATAAGTTTAAAGTGTTTTTGACTGGTGCATCTTGGAATGAACAACTTGAATCTTATATATAGCCTTGGACTCCTTCTTCCTTCACAAAACTAAGCGATGTGGGACTTGAAAGAATTTGTATCATATATATAACCTTGGACTCTCTCTTCATTCACAAAACTAAGCGATTTGAGACTTCTTCAACAGTATATTTTTAACACAACCCAACAATCTCCACCTTGATTGAAAATAATACATAAACTTTTATTGTCTTCACCGACAATCATACTCTACTATAAAGAGTACCAACATGCATATTTTCAATCAACCACAACAATTTCTACTATGATTGAAAATAATACATAAGCTTTCATTGTCTTTATCGACAATCATACTCCACCATAAAGAGTATAGTCACTTGAAGTTACACCACGCCAAGAATTTTCACATTGTCTTCACCGACAATCATAGTTTTAAAAACTATCACACTCTTTCATGAAAAATATATTTTATTTGAAGATAAACCACTTCAAGAATTTCACATTGTCATCACCGACAATCATATACTTTATCATGAAGAATAAATTTCACTTGAAGGTAAAGCACTCCAAGAATTTTACATTGTCTTCATCGACAATCATAGTTTTAAAAAACTATCATACTCCACCTAAATAAGAGTATACTTCACTTGAAGCTAAACCACTTCAAGAATTTTCCCATGTCGAAAACCAGGTTGAAACTTTATGGTGCAACTTCCTTGTTGGTAGGAAGCTCTTCAACCACCGACATAATCTTGCACCTTGTGTAATCTTGATTGTATCAACACATCTTTGACTTGAACTTTCCACAAGTCAAAAAAAAAAAATCTTCCATCAATTTTCTATAGCCCAAACTGCATAGCGGAATTTGTGACTACAACTCAATAACTCTTTCTCAACACTACCCTTCTTTTCTGATGTGGAAGATTAGACAGAGCATACTAAGAACACTTATCCTTGGATCGAACCAATAGGAAAAAACCACGGTCGTTGTCCATAAACAAACAGAGAATAACACTATGTGAAAATTATTACAACACATAATATATCCTCAACAAACTCAGACCCACATTACACTCACACCCTCCAAAACTAATATTTAATTACATCTCACAACACTCTGAAACAAGAGTATAAAAGAACAAAGAAAGTTAAATACAAGTTTAAAGTGTTTTTGACGAGTGCATCTTGAAATAAATAACTTGAATCTTATATATAGCCTTGAACTACTTCTTCCTTCACATAACTAAGCAATGTGGGACTTGAAAGAACTTGTATCCTATATATAGCCTTGGACTCTCTCTTTATTCACAAAATTAAGCGATGTGAGACTTTTTCAACATGTATATTTTCAACTCAACCCAACAATCTCCACCTTGATTGAAATAATACATAAACTTTCATTGTATTCACCGACAATCATACTCCACTATAAAGAGTATCAACATGCATATTTTCAATCAACCTCAACAGCAACCACTAGTTGCTTTTTGAAACACCAAGAAATAGGGGCTCCTAGATACATAAACATGTATCCTGTGATGCTTATTCTGTCTACTCTGTTTTCACACCAGTTAGAGTCTCAGTAGTATATTAACTCAGCATCATTTGATATTTTCGATGAAAACAAAATTTCATACCTCGGAATCACTTTTACATATTTCAGAATTCTAATTGCATTTTCGTAATATGACCACTCTCACTTACTCGTAAACCGACTTACTATTCCAACTAGATAGCATATGTAACAAATAAATTATTGGAGTCGTTTTAATGGTATAATAAGTAACAAATAAAAAACTATAAAAAAAACAATTTTTTAAAATAACTTTAAAATGTTTGAAAATGTTGAACTTATGAATGGAATCAACATGCTTATCATTGCATATGTTTAGATTGATTTAATTTAATAATAGAAACCACACAAAAACTAAATCAAAATTGAAAGTGATTGTGGCACAGTTATTTTTCATCCAAGACAGTGAAAATACACAAAAATGTATATAGTAAGTAGAAAGTGAGTGATAGTATGAACAGAGCAAGTATACATGGAGAACTGTAAAAGGGGAGGCGTGTGTTCCTCTTTCCTGCTTCGTTATTGCCCAAGTGATAGCGATAGTGACAGACATTGTGATAGTTGTGATAGTGATGCTTAAGGGGTAGTATTCAATGACTTCAATTTATAACTATCCCTCATTCATGTGTGTAATGTATAGATTAAAGATAGATGCCATGAAATTAACACGCACTTAACAAACAAAAACATAATTTGAGTGAGCAAACAATGTACAAAAACTAATAAAATATTATCTAAGAAGTGTACAAAAACTCTACTTAATACACAACTCCCTCTATCAAAGAAGTATTCAATAACTTTTTTTTTTCCGACTGAATATTAAAGTCTATCACATACAAGTACAATCACGTCTTAAATATAATTTTTTAAAATTGTGAGTCTCATAATTATAAATATATTTTTAAAATATAAATTGTAAGAGTTTAAAGGTAATGTACACTCATTGTAAATATAATTTTTTTAAATTGCGAGTCTCATAATTATAAATATATTTTTGAAATATAAATGGTAAGAGTTTAAAGGTAATGTACACTCATTGTAAAGCTGTTGTGACATAATCTAAGTTATAGCTCAAGCACAAGTTAGTTAGGATTTGAGTTTGTTGCATTAGTTATTTAGTATTCAAGTCACTTAGTTGTCTATAAATACATATTATAATTTAGTTTCAGTATCAATCCTAATAATACGATTACTTCTCTTTTACTCTCTTTTTTTCTCCTCACTAAAAGTGTCTCACACACTAACAAATTAGTATCTAGAGCTCCAGTTAGTTTTTTGATCGTGTTTTCAAGAATCACACGTCTGTAATCGTGTTTTCGGGATCGTGAGTTGTTCGTGTTTGCTGCAAAGATGAATGATAACAATGGTATTCTGAATTCTCTTACAATTCTTGACAGCATGAATTGGATCTGATGGAGTAAACAAATGCAATTTCTGTTTGCCTTTCTTGAAACCTTAGAAGTGGTTATTAATGGTATCCATGAACTTGTTGAGAACGTAACTGATGATCAAAGAGTTACAAACAAGGAGGTCAAGAAGAAAGACTGCAAGGCTACGTGTTATATTCAATTGACAGTAGACACAACGAACTTTGATCTGATTTTTCATGTTGAATTAGCGAAGGAGACATGAGATATTCTTTTCAAGTATTATGAAGGAGGTGAGAAGGTTAAAGTCGTCAAATTGCAGACGTTACAAAGGCGGCAAGAATTACTACAAATGGGAGAAGAAGTAAAGATTGCAGGTTATGTCTTGAAGGTGCAGAAGTTTATTCATCTCAATGAAAAATGATTATGTTCTTTCAAAGGTACAACCCTTAGCCAAATTTAAAAAAGAAAATTAACGTTCACTACCTGTTCGCAGGTGTTTTTAGCGAACAATCATAAGTTTAATTCACTTGTGAGATTAACTCTAAAAATCTTGAAAGCAATATGTGCAAAATAAGTGTACAAGAAAGAGAGTGTGCGACGTGAATGTGGATGTTTGTATGAAGATAAAATGGACACAAGCTTTAATAACAAA